TAAGCAAATCCAGGCTCCTGAGACTTGCCTTGGATGGACTCTGTCCTGGTTTAGGACAAATCTAGGAGAGAATCTCCAAAGAGGCTTCTTCAGAGAGCAGATTTAAGTGGGCTCTCCCCCAGTCAGTTCAGGAAAATATCTCCTTGGAAAAAAGTGGAAAAATACTTTATTTAACAGGCAAAGCATTCACTAGCACACAAAATATGAACAATATCAAAAAACAAAACGTCTTGCTGCTCCAAAAGAGATGACAAACTCAGGAAGTCCCTCTGTGGGCTCTAGCTCAGCTCACTCAGTCTCTTCTCAGTGCCTCCAGTGCTGGAAATGCTGTGGCCCAGGCGTGGCCTGGTGGGCAACAGGTGAGAGCTGCCAGTGATCTTCTGGGTGTTCAGTCCAGAGCAGGTGTCCTGGTTCAGGGCAAATTTGGGAGAGAACCCCCAAAGGGGTTCCTCTGGAAGGCAGCTTCAATCAGCCCCCTCCCCAACTGGTTCAGGAAAAATACCTCCTTGGAGAAAAGGGGAAAAACCTGTTTATTAAACAATAAAACCTGAACAATATTAAACAATAAAACCTCTTGCCCAAGAGAGGCAAAAAGAGATGACAAAAAGAGATGACAGACTCAGAAAGTCCCTCTGTGGGCTGTAGCTCAGCTCACTCAGTCTCTTATCAGTCCCTCTGGCATTGGAAATGCCACGGCCCAGGCCCAGCCCACTGGTGGAGCTGCTGGTGCTCCTCTGGGTGTTCAGTCAAGAGCAGATTTAAACAGCTCCAAAGAAAAGAAAAAACCACAGTCCAGGGAACTTCTTTGCCTCAGCTAGCTAAAAACTAACTAAAGGCAAAGGAGAGCTCTGTCCTGCTGTCTGTCCACCCGCAGACAGCACAGTCCAGGAGCAGGAATGTGGAGGAGTGAGCGCAGTGTCTGAAAACAAATTGAACACTTCTTCCCCACCTTGGCCCTCAGAACCAATCTTAAGGGTGCAAAAATTATTTCAGGTCTAAACAGATGAGTGGGGATACTGAATCATTAAAACTAAAATCACAGACAAAGACTCTCTAATTAGTCAAAGGTAGAAAGTGGTGTGTTTATTATGCCGGCAGGCAGNTTCTTCATGAGTTTAAGTGGTATTTTGTAATTAAACAGAAAAGTCCACATTACAGACTTTGTGTGATCAGTTATTAGATTAAAAGAGAAAATAATTTAGGTATCATTTCTTAATTAAATAGCTTAACCTTAAAAGACCTTATAACAAAAAATACGTAACCATTTTATACCTTACTAATAAAAAACTACATAACTCATAGCTGTGAAACTATAACATTAATAAAAAAACAATAAACACCTAAATCTAAACACAAACTATCATCTCTAGTACCTTCAGTCCCAACCACAAGACTCCATTTTATTCATGCCAAAAAAATTGGGAAAAGCCAATTCTTTATTCACATAACTCGTTTTTATAGTTTTACAGACCTCGTGTGTGAGTCCAATTTTTTAGGAGCTTTTCTGCCAATTAATTTATTGGTTAGTAAAAGATATTTTACTTGTCCATCAAATCTCTTAATTTATTGAAATTATTATTATTAAATTATTATTCTTAAATTATTTACATATTTTCTTCACCGATTTTCATGGGATAGATTTAATGCTTATGCAGGTGCCACCAGGAATTTGTTGCTGTTGGAATCTTGTTTTTCACCCAGGAATTGATTGTTATATTAACAAACTTTCACACCAGGATTGATTTCTCATGGGAACTTGCAAAGTGCCAGCTTGACAAAGTTAGATCTAACAAAGCCAGCCTGATTTTATGAGGCCTTTCTTTTATAATTTTTCTACCTTACAGCAACAGTAAATCCCAGTTTCTTTCCTGATGGGCTTAGCTCTGAGCAGTTTTTTTGGAGTGGGAATCTCCAAACAATTCCAGTGCCCCCATTGTGGCCACAGACAAATCCACCTTCCATGGAATCTGTTGGATTTGCCTCCAGCAGCTCTCCAGCCCTACCAGTGCCTCAGTGGTCAGAGCTGGGGCACTGATGGGGCTCTCCTGTGGCATTCCCAGCCCCAGCACACGATTCCCGATGTTTTCATCTGGATGATGAGCAACAACAAGCGCATCGCCTACGCCCGCATCCCTTCCAAGGACATCCTGTACTCCATCGTGGACGAGGAGATGGGCAAGGACTGCGCCAAAGTGAAGACAGTTTTCCTCAAGGTGAGGATCCCTCTGGTCAGGGGAGCTGCAGCCAGGAGGAGGGAATTTGGGAGATGAGGATGAGAGTGTTGTATCCATTTTTTAATGGGGTTGGAGTACTGGAGAAATGTGATCCATACTCTGTTGGTAGGGGTGGAAATTGGCTCCTGGGGAGGGTGAG